GCTTATTATTCTTGGATCTGTCCTGTAGGTTGAGGTAATTGGTGGTAGTGAAAAGTACATTGCGACCTGCAGACAGTGCTTTTTCATCTCGACCCCCCAGAAGAGACCAGGGGCTTCTCCACTCAAACCAGTGCAGGTGAATGTATGGGCAGAGCTATTGCTTTTATAGATATTTTCTGTTGTCTTTTGAAATACTGGTACTTTTTGTTAGAGTTTTGTGTATATGTAATAGAATGTGTATGATTTTTGTGTGTATTATGTGTGTGTGTTTTGTGTCTTTTGTGTGTGTATGTATGTGTGTATGTGTGTGTATGTATGTGTATGTGTGTGTGTGTGTGTGTGTGTGTGTGTGTGTGTGTGTGTGTGTGTGTGTGTGTCTGTGCGTGTGTGTGTGTGTGTTGTGTGTGTGTCTTTGTGTGTGTGTGTGTGTGTCTGTTTGTTTGTTTGTTTATTTGTCTTTTGTGACTATGTAAGGCCCGTACTTTTAAAACCTTTCGCCAGGGCTGGCGAAAGGTTTCGCCGGGTGATCCGGAATTTCATACTTTTAAAATCATGCCTGGCGAACGTTCGCCAGTGCTGGCGAAAGATCATATTGGAACAGCCTGGCGAAGAGAGCTGTTTGAATACCATTTTCTTGTTTTCAAATTATAAATTAGTAACATATTTGTGTATGATAGGATGTAGGAATCACATTGAAATTATAAAATATCTTAAAATCATAATTTATTATGAAATAACGTATATACGTATTTTTTTCAAGACCTTCGATGTTCCGGTCGAGAACTCAAGACATCAGCTGTATTCCTACCCCCCTACCCCTACCCCCACCCCCGAGATGACTTATTTAGATTTAGGTTGTTGTTATTTTGGTTGTAAGGATAATGTTCTTTTCACAAATATTACCAGGCGTGTTTTTTATGGCGGCATGTTTACTTTTGGCTATAGAAACATAGCTGTAGTGCTCCACCGCCCTAAAATGAGGCGTCTTTAATGATACCTATGTAGGCCTACAGTTCAATATCTTACATCAGTTAGGAATAGTAAAATAGTAATTTTTAAACTCTTGTTAAAGTATAAAGTTATTTTTTGTATAAAAGTATAAGGTTGATACAGTATAGTATAAAGTACTTTTAAAACCTTTCGCCAATGCTGGCGTTCGCCTGGCGAACATCTGAGTGAGGGAGGCCTTACTTTTAAAACCAAGGCAGGTGTTCGCCAGGCCTGGCGAACGAAAGGGATCGCCAGGCGCTAACATCTTGAATTCCTGATAAATCTAGCGCTTCAGCGAATGAAAAAAACGCAAGAAAAAGCAAAAGGTTTTAAAAGTACGGGCCATAAAGTTAACCTTGTTATAGTATAAAGTGTAGTATAGCATAAAGTATAAAGTTAATTTTGTTATAGTATTAAGATATTTTCAACTTCTTTGTTATAGCATAAAGTTAAATTTTAACTCCTTTGTTATAGTATAAAGTGAGACTACTGCGGAAACAACATTTTCGTCTTCTCTCGAGGTTAATAATTAACTTTAGGTTATGTTATGTGCACTGCAGGTGTAAACAAATTTGCGCTAGATTTAGCGGGAATGCAAGATGTTAGCGCCTGGCGAACGTTGGTTTTAAAAGTAAGGCCTCCCTCACTCAGAGGTTCGCCTGGCGAAGCTTCGCCAGGTGAACGCCAGCACTGGCGAAGGTTTTAAAAGTACGGGCCTTAGTCATATTCAGACATTTCCATTCCATCCAGACATCTTGTTTCTAAGTTATCTGCATTGAATATCTGTAGTTCAGAATTTATGCAAACATTTTTTAACATGATTCCAAGTGACCATTATTGTGCAGTTCTGTAAATTATTTTTTTCACCTTTTCAAATATTCTGCGTATGTAGCTCCTTTTGGTAATTTTGCAAATTCTACCTCATTTTTTCTTTCTCGTCATCTCTACCTTCGCTGATTTTGTATAGATTTATGGCTATTAATGTCTTGACCTTTTTTTTAAGTATTTACAGATAATGTTATAACTTATTGCATAAAGTAAAACTGATATAAAACATAATGGCACCTTTTCTTATCAGCACAATATAGATCACAGTGAAGGCCTCTCCTAGTATTTACAAAGACATACAGTTGTTTGGTATTTGTCATATGATGCAAGTTTCAAATATTCCATAGACTAAATGGGAGCGGCTGCACCCATAAAACTGAACTCACTATGAAAATTTATCAGTTTAGATAATTTTGAGATTGCTTAATTAAAGAAATGTGATTGTGTACTTTTCTGATTTAGGGATTCTGTTTTATAAAAGGTATTCTGTGCATGTCTGCTTACCATAAAGGCAGAAAACCAACATATTTATGTATTTCTTGTCTCCATAAACACAAATTAGGTGCTCCCTCTGCTTTTCTTATGTGGTGTTATGATTTAGTATTTAATTTTTTTTTTCTTCTTGTGCTTACAGGAAAATATGGAGACCAATGAAAGTAGCAGCAGTTGCAAGCGTCGATTGATGGATGGCAAAGAGGGAACAGGGACAGTGACGGCAGACAAGGAAAACTGCAGCATGCAAATGGCATAATGATATTTTGTAAAGACAGACTTGTAAGAAGGCTCCCCAGTGCATTGCAGTTAATTTTTTAAATGAAAGTGGAAGACAATAAACCTTTATGGCACTGAAATGTACTGTAGAAAGGCCTTAACACTGCTGCATTCAAGTTACATTTAGACCTTTTGGGTCAGTGACAAAGAAATGCATTTTTTTTTCTTTTTCTTCTTTCCTTTTTTTCTTTATAAAAGGTATGTAGATATGCATTGAAGATATTTAATGTGTTATTTCCCCTAACTCCCTTTTTGACTTGTTTCGCCTTGTCATAAAATACAATTTGGTGCTTGATTTAATATTTCATACAAACATATTCTGACCAGATTTTGTGTGTTTGACATTTAACATTGCTGTGATAGTATTTACCATTGTTACCATTTCACAATATTCTTAAAAGCTGTTATTGTTACATTCTGACTATTTTGAAAAGGAAGGCACTTGAATGATTGATTAAATGTTCTTGTATAATTGTTAAGAAAGGAATATTCAGAATACATATTGATTTTGACAGGTAATGATAATATGTCATGTCTAATGGTGTATTTCTGTGTTTTTCTGCAATCTAAACACTTCTTAGAAAGTTACCAGTATCAAGTTATTTTATAAAGATAGACAGGATCTGCAAATTATCATCATTAACAGTCTTTGAGGCTAGAACTACTAGGTCCATTACCAGGACAAGAACTAGGTCCAGAACAAGAACTAGGTTCAGAAATAGTACACATCTAAAGATTAGAAATCTCACAAGCTTTTGGGCTAGATTCAGGCTTCAGTTTAACCAATACATTTTGTATGTAAGTATTGATGTGTGTATGCAAGTGTGTGCATGTGCATGCATGTGTGGATCTCTATCTGTCTGACCTATGGATCTATCTATATCTATCTGTCTGTCTAGCTGTCTATCTATCTATCTATCTATCTATCTATCTATCTATCTATCTATCTATCTATCTATCTATCTATCTGTCTGTCTGTCTGTCTGTCTGTCTGTCTGTCTGTCTATCTGTCTATCTGTCTATCTGTCTATCTGTCTGTCTGTCTGTCTGTCTGTCTGTCTGTCTGTCTGTCTGTCTGTCTGTCTGTCTATCTATCTATCTATCTATCTATCTATCTATCTATCTATCTATCTATCTATCTATCTATCTATCTATCTATCTATCTATCTATCTATCTATCTATCTATCTATCTATCTATCTATCTATCTATCTATCTATCTATCTATCTATCTATATATATATATATATATATATATATATATATATATATATATATATATATATATATATATATATATATATATGTATGTATGCATGTATGTATGTATGTATGTAAGTATAATAAAATAATTTACAGATCTAGTATTTGCCGGCAGTATTTTTTTTAGAATTTCACAAAGAGCACTTTTTACAGTTTTCACACCATGAGGTGCTTTAGTAAAGTACATTGACCATAAGCTTCATACTGTATAAACACAAAATAAATGCAAAGAGGTAGAGAAACGAAGAGTATTTTGCAAGACAAATCATCACTTAAAGCTATGCATAGTGAGAAAGAGAGCGAGATAGAAGAGGCAGATTAGAACACTAGAAGGTTACTAAACACATCAGTTAGTAGCTGTGTATTGCACTGCCATTGCACAGATGAATCTGTAGTTTCTTTTTTTTTTTTTCTTTTTCGTTTAGCTAGACAGGAAGACATTAGGTTGGTGAAATTTACAAATGATCAATTTAATTGTGTGTTTTGGAATGATGCTTTTGTTTATAAGGAAGACATATAATTATTTCATGTTAATTATGATACTTCACTGACATAACACTAGATTAAGATTATATTTAAATGCAGAAGAAAGCAAAAGAAAAAAAAAAGGGACAGACCTGACAGGGATTTATCAATAAGACGTATTGACATTGTTGAAAATTTTATACTTTTATACTTTTTATATCATGTTGATTGTGTATTACATATTAAACTCTTTAACAAGATTCTTCATTAATATTGCTTTTTCTATGAAGTTTCCCCCTTAAGGCGAGTGTGGTAGAGACCATGAATCCAAACATTGTTTAGTAAAACATTGGCTTATAGGATGTTGGTTGTTGAATTCTGAATGGCGAAAGAGATGTAAACGCAGAACTTCATATTTAATCTTCTGTGACATATTCTGAGTTATGCATTACTTACGTCTTCTTTTTAATATAATAAATTGAAAGTAGCATTTTGTATCCTTTATTATCCGTAATTTTTTTTATCCAGGACGGGAAAGTATAAATGGACTAGTGAAAGATAATAGTAAAGGTATATTATACTTAAAAAGGATAATATAAAAGAGCAGTATTATACAATACGTTTTTAGTAAATACATTTTACTTCATTGCTTCCCATTTTTTTTCCTTCTCGCTTACATTTTAATTGAAAACTGGAAGCATGAAATACATTGTGTAGTTGTACATTTAAAATTTTCGCAAATAAAATATGCCTTGTCTGATCTGGAAGGCAAATTTTGTTGAATCATTTATTGCCCACAATGACTAGCAGATTACAATTATTCTATACTTATTTGATTAATCATTATCATTAAATTATTGATTATCATTTATTCCAAGTCGGAAATATATCAACTGTAATTTTACTAAGCTATAAGTTTATCTTTACCCAATTGATCAGGAAAATTTCGAAATGCAGTTTCTTTCATTAAGCATTATGTTAAATGCTGACCAATGAATAATCTACTATTAAATGAATTTTGCCCCATTAAGAAAAATTAAGCAGCAATAAAAATATTCCTTTTTTTGAGTTCCTTTCTTTCCTATTCCAATAATTATCAAATAAATCTTACATCCAAACTTCCATATTCAAAACTTGGACAACCATAAAGTAAGTATAACAATGTATCATACTTTTACACTATATTTAATACATGTACAATATAAGCACACAATCTTTGCCGTTACACCTACAAATGCATGTGAGAACAATCACTGATACCTTAGACTCTATCTAGACACTGTTTCTTGCATCAGAAATGCTCCCTGAATATATCCTAAGTAAAATCCATCAGGAGACAATCAAGGCCTTCAAAACAATTATCTATTTTTTTTTTTAATCACCTTTTTTTTTTAGATTAATCTATTGTCATTTTGGGATTTGATTAACATTATCCTTTGTATCTGCAATTATCATTTCAAGCTTACTATTCTTATACCAGATCCGTTCAGTGTTAAATCAAAAACACTACATTTTCCTACTGGGACGGCTTGTGGCATGTCTAATGCTACGTTACACAGATTTTGCTGTGCTTTTCACCATTACTGTAACCATAATATTTAGCTGAGCTTCATGTAGTATTTCATATTACTGTCTGTATATATTAGAGGACCTATTGAGACTGACAAGTGAAAGCAGTTATTCATTGTCTCTAATAAAATTCATATTCTAACACAACTATATAACGACACTTTGAAAGTCAAATAAAATAAGGCCTTGTTTATGAATTATACACATGTTATTCATTGTTACTGTATCGTATCAACTTTCTCATAACAATGTGACCCTCTATGTAAGTAGCATGAGGCTTTATACTTCAAACTCTTTATAAACATTGAATAATCATACAAAACCATGATTGTAAAAAGCTTGTGCATCCTATGTTCACTTTTAACTGACTATCAGAATCCGGAATACCTGTATAATGGAAAATTAAACAATAGAAAGATCACTGAGTCAGACTATACAAAGCCTTAGTATATTCCTGGACAAATTCAATTAAAATAAGAAAGAACACATTGCAAAACATTATCTTTCATGACACTGGTTCTGGATCTTGCAGATAGGATGCATTTAAACAAATAATAACTCAGAGGAATTTGACACCTTGATTGTCACCAAAGTCCATTATTTCTACTTTCCCAGATGCTTCTAAAGCCTTGAGCGCTTTCATTAATACATCGATGTCCAAGCCATGGAATTCTGGAAAGAGTAATAAAATAGATAAAACAAAACAAATCCAAAATTAGACACTCTTTTTATTTTTCTACTAGTAACATAGTCATCTACGTTTTCAAGTTTTATCCAAATCAAGACAATAACTTATTTGTAAGTGAAATCCTGAACATAACCTCTTATCCAATGAGTAATAAAGCAGATAAAAGCATTCTAAATCTACCTTCACTAGCAGTTTCATCCCCTTGGTTGATTTCATACAGTGTGCTGACTGTGTTGATACGGCTTGTAGATTGTGCCCATGTGTAGATCTGTTGTCCCCATTCTGTAGGACTTCTCCAGAATAGGTAACCCCTGCAAATGTCAAGAGAGATTTAACAGCGCTTCTTACTTACATGAAGGGAAATCTGAAAAGTGAATTAATATAGCTACAGGAGGGGTGTCTAATATCTGACAATGTTACTACATACCAACTCTTCCTTGATAATCAGTATACAATCACTTTCATCCAATTTCCTGAAAAAAACAAATGCAGTTCAAGCAAACAAGGAAAATTTAAGACCAAATCTGTGTAGCTGAATGAATGAGTTTCAAAATTCACAAATATACACACTAAGCCCTCAATATGTGGTAAAAACATTAATTCAAATTCGGCATTCTTTTAATAATTTTTCTTTGTTAATTTGTGATTTTCATGATAACTGATACACATATACTAATGATCATAGATTTACGTAAGGATAAGACATGCAACGTAATGTTTTTGGAGAATGCAGAAGCAACACTTACATACCAGCAACAAACAACAGCATTTACCAGCGCATTTCTACTTTTATGATAATTCACTATAGATTTTATTTGAACATTTTCCTATCTATCTCTTTTACCTGAAAAGTGCTATAATCCAGTACACAATATCAGAAACTCACAACTCTTAAAATAATCTGCAGTTTACAACCAAAAGTAGAAA